CCTAAAGTTTGGGATATCATGGAGATCCTGCCCCCTCACCACCCATTTCTGATGCCAGCAAGTATCTGCCTCTGCCTCAGCCCCCACCCACCATGACGGCCACCTCGGCCCTCACAGCCCCAGCTTTGTCCAGAAGGTCATCTGGAAGGACTTCCAGTCTAATTAGCATACTATGCTTTTATTATCATAGATTATACTAGATTCTTTGTGAGATGCCTTTGGGAGCACTGAGAGGATGGGATCCTCCCTGACACCTTCCCCGTTCATTCAGTCACACACATACCCCTCTGTGCCCAACAGAACTGCTGGCCAAGGCCTCCTGACAGGGTCCAGGCTGCTTTTAAGTAGCTTGCCGTGCACAGCTGGCCCCAAGAAGGAAACCCCAAAAAGGAGGGTTTTCCACCTTTGGCAAAAGACTGAACTGAAACCCGTAAGGTAACATTTAACACCAGCAATTTATGATTCTTTTCAAGGCTTATATTTAGAGCACACATTTACCCTTTAAGATTTTACTGTTCTTCTACCCTAAAATAACAACTGCTGAATGAAAGTGTTATTAGTGTGTGAAGGGGGAGGGAAAGAGGGGTAACCCTAACAGTTGCTAAGCAATCTGCCAGTTTTTATCATGTAAAAACTAAGTAATAACCAACAAAGAATAAATACTAGCCTAAGAAAATTATTCCCAGGTCTAGAATAACTATGCAGATAGGGACATGTAAACACACACACACACACACACACACACACACACACACACACACACGCCCTAAGAGCTTTCAATTCTCTTCTAACTTAGGAGGTACATATCCAAGTCAAGTTGTATATGTCTCTCAAGTTTGATTTAAGTCTACAGCACCCAGGGATTGTTCAGTTTGGCCCTTTGTTAATCGGGGCCCCAAGATCTTAGGGTATATCCAAGACTAGAGAGTAGGTAAAAACCACTTCTGAAACCCTGAAATAGTATTTCTACAGGACTCAACTAGGAATTAACACCTAAATATAAAGTAGTTCTTGCAGGTATAATCAGAAACATAAAGCAGAGGTCAGCAAATGACAGCCCACTGCCTATTTTTAAAGTTTGCTGAAACACAGCCATGCTCATTTGCTTATGTACTTATGTCTAGTTGCACACAACAATGGGAGAACTGAATGTTTACCACAGAGACTACATGGCCTGCAAAGTCAACATATTTGGCCCTTTTCAGAAAAAAAAAAAAAAAAATGCTGATCCTTACTAAAAATAGAGAGCGTTTTATGTTTGTCCTTAGGGTTGGGAGTAGACCAGGAGAAGTGAGGTGAAAAAAGCAGGGTTAACTTGAGTCATCAGGTTGAAGATAAGAGTGTGGGCTCACCAAAGTCTCATTTAAAGTGGAGATCTAATAATAGTTATATGCTGCTTCACAATGGGAAATGTGTTGTTAGATTTTTTGTGCAAACATCATAGAGTGTATTTACACAAATCTAGATGGTACTGCCTACTACTATAATTGCACGTGCCCTACTTTTGTATGAGTGGCAATGCAGGTTTGTTTACATCACAAATGCATGAGCAATGCACAAACACTAACACGTTACCATGGCTACGAAGTCACTAGGTGAAAGGAATTTTTCAGCTCCATTATAATCTTATGGGACCTCTGTTGTATGTATGGTCTGTTGGCAATTAAAAAGTCATTATGTGGCACATGACTGTACTAAAAAGTGATCTTAACTATTACCCTATTTTGAGACTATTCAAAGTGAATTAAATGAACTATGTAGGGTTTTTTACTGTATTTACTGAAAATGTTTTAAGTTAATGCATGTTCTGATCTCATTCATATGGGGATATGCTGTCATTTTTGCATGAGTATAAATCATACTGCTCCCTCCTCCTCACCATGTTTCCATTTACAGGGGAAAACAGAGTCCCATTATGGGAAAGTGGCATGCTTAGCCAGAAAAACGGTCTGCTGCCCAAGATAGATACCAAGAATAAAGCCTGATTTAGGACCACTGTATGTTTTGAGCTGAAAGAGACCTGTGATTCTCTGTGGTCTCCTAGGCTTTCATGAATTTATCAAATCTCATGTTTAATACTGCTTTTAAAAATGTCTCAAAATAATTTTTAAAAATATATTTTATTGATTTTTTACAGAGAAGAAGGGAGAGAGAGAGCTAGAAACATCGATGAGAAACATCGACCAGCTGCCTCTTGCACACCCCCCACCGGGGATGTGCCTGCAAACAATGCACATGCCCCTGACCGGAATCGAACCTGGGACCCTTCAGTAGGCAGACAGACGCTCTACCACTGAGCCAAATGGGTTTCGGCAAAATATATATATTTTTAATTTTAGGCTACTGATAACAAGTATGAGTGAAGAGTTATATGTGCTCTGCATAAGATACTCCCAGTTTCCTGCTGCTGAAACTCCATCAGCAAATGATCCTTCTTTCTGACCCCATCTCCCACGCACCCCCACCTTTGGAACTCTTCAGTGTATGATCTAAAACTGTCAGTCACCAGAAAATTCCTCTATATATCCTTAACCTCTTCTTCAAACATTCCCTTTACTTTCATGCCCTAGGAGAGCATAAGTTCTCCCCTACAGACAAGTTCCTGAAGTTTTCCTGTTGTCTGAAAGAGAGCTGTCTCAGGACTTGCAGTGATAGAAATGAATATTAACTGACACAGGCCGTTAAGACTTTGGAGTTGTCTGCTATGTAGCATGGGCAGTAATTAGCAAACCCTAAAACCTTTGGTATTGACTTTTGAGATTAACAAGGCAATGAAACACTTATTCCTGTAAGAAAAGCAGAAAACATCAAATGTTCTAGCTGAAATGCCCTAGTTGACTTCACCCACAGAGCTGAGAGTAAGGTAAATAAATAGTGATATAAGTTGAGCCCAGGGGGGTTATTTGCCATGCAACATTATTCCAGTAACAGTTGGGTAACTAAGGCCAGTCACTCCATTTGTCTACTAGATCCCATTCCTCTTTTTGCTCTTTAAAACCCTGCTATAGTATTTTTTCTTGTCTGAATAATCAGATTTACCTTTTCTACAGGTTTATTTCCAAAATAAACCTATACTTTCAATTGGTCAACAAATCCTACTGGCACTATCTTTGAAATATATCCAGAACTTGATTACTCCTTTTAACTCCCAATACCACCACCTACTCTCAGCCATCCTCATCTCTCACCTTTAGTCTCCCTGATTCCAGCCTTGCCCTGCTACAATTTACTCTTAACATAGTAGCTACAATAGTTTGATCATATACTTCTTTGCTCAAATCCTTCTAATATATTTCCAGGACATTCAAAGTCAAAGTCACAATCTACCTGCCTCTCTCTTCACCCCTACTCCTCTCCACTATAACCCTCCTCCCCTACCTCAGATCATCCCCCTCTAGCCACACTGTCATCCTTGTTGGTACTTGCACACATCAAGTACTGCAGAGGCTCTGCACTTGCTGTGCTCTCTACTTAGAATGTTCTTGCACCAGTTTCTTCAGGTCTTTGCTCCTATGATATCTCGGTGAATACCCCCAACCCTATTTAAAATTACAACCACTCATTTTTGCTTTCTTTTCTCTATAATACTTACTACATATGACCCATGATATATTTTACTGAATTATATATTTTATTGTCTCCTCAGATAGAATGAAAACACAAACACCTTAGATATTTTTATCTGTTTTCTTTAGAGCTATCTCCCTAGTGCCTACAATAGAGCCTGGACACATTATAGACACTTAATGAGTATTTGTTGAATGAGTGAATTGGTCTGTAGGGAAGAGAGTCAGGTCTAGTTTAAATCTTACATTTTTAAGTTATAAACCAGGCACCTAGACTGGAAAAAAATGCTGCAATGAGGACAAAGATGCATACAGTTTTAGTAAGATTTTTTTCTTACTTTAGTACTGTCTCTTTTCTTTTATCTTATCTAAATCAAAGGAAATAATTCAAAGAAATTATGAGGACTAGAATTCAACATAATTATATTTAGACCCCTGGACTTAAGCTCTATTTTCAAAATTACAGTTCTTAAATATTTTAATATACTACTTATTTTTACCACCATAGATTTTTAACCCTAGATTGTATATTTGCATGTTTATCAGCTTCCTAAGAAATGAATAAACTGTTCAATTGTAATTCTTGAAATTGAAAACAATTTACCTAGTAAGAACTAAAATCAATTTTCAGAAAAGCAGTGTATGAAGTTCAACTCTATCTTTCAACTGTTATCATTTCCTTTTAATTGTTAATCTTTCTCCAAACCAAAAAGAAGTTTTTATAATTAATTACTGCTTGAAGGCTCAAATATTACCAAAAATCACCATTTATCAAGCTATTTTAAGAGAAGAAAATCTTATAAAGAGCTGACAATACTAGTAGATAAGCAAAGTACAAGTAATCCTCGAATGGAAGTCTGTTTACTTACCAGGCAGACAACATATATCTATCAGCTATGAGAATAAATATAATAGTAAATTAAAATAAGCCTATTGTCAGCTGGTATATAAAATGAACCTAGCTAGTAGATATAGGAATAAAGTGTGATGATTCAGTTAATCAAAATTAAATCTTCTTTAAACCAGCCCATTTTATAATAAGGTTATCCCAGAATTATTTTGCTAGGGGACCTCTCCTGGGCCCCTATACCCAACACAGACTCAATTAAAGAAGGGGGTGGGGGGCATGAACCTATTTTTTATTTTAAATGTCTAAATGTCACTATCTACCAAGCCTTTGAAGATTACTTTGATATCTTTCTTTCCCCAAGGAACTCATTACTTGGATTTCCAAGAAAACGGTGCTGACAGAGTCTAGCAAACTTATTAAAGACTTCCATTTTTGTAGGAACTCAGTAAAGTAATCATAACATTTTCAAATTCAGTTAACAGTTATCTTTTAGCATACTGATAATAAAGCTATTTTATTCATTTGAAGTAAAGGTTTTAATTGTTTTATAACTATAATGGTGACTTGAGCTTTTCATTACTTACCGAGTCCTAGAAGATCAACAGTCGGCTCTGCAGCTTTTTTAGGGCTGGTGCTCTTTTTAGGCTCTAATTGCTGATCTTCTTTCTTCTGTACCTTTAAAGTAAATAATCAGATGTATTAATTTTTCTTAAACCAATCAAGCCTTTAAAACTCAATTATACAGATTTTGTATAAAGTTAGTGTAATAAAGCATATGAAGCATAGTGTAATGAAGCTTAGAACATTTATTATTGTATAAAAAAACAAGTAAGCATGATTACTGAGCTCACAGTGACAGAACTTATATATTAGTACCTCAAAATAGTGACTATGTATATAAAAGCCAAACGACCAGAATGGAAGAACAACTGGTTGCTATGAGGCACACTATGGCAACCAACCAGCCCAATGGGGACCTCAATCGGTCTCCCACAGCCACCACAGCCCCTCTTCTGGCCAATCCAGCCCCTAAGTGCCTCCCACAATCAGTATCAGGGCTAGCTGGCCAACAGCCCACAACCCCTCCCCACAGCCGCCTGCCCCCAATGGGGGACAGGGCCGGTCGGCTGACCTCCCATAGCCCCTCCAACCCCCCACCAGCCCAGCCCCAATCGGCCCCCATCGAGGTGGGCCAGCCAGACCCCACCTGTGCATGAATTTGTGCACCAGGCCTCTAGTATAAATACAACCTTAATATAATTGTTCTTAACCATTTTAATTCCTTCATATGAAAGAACACTTTTTAAAAAACTGCGTTTGACATTATTTGCTAACTACTGTTAATGTACACCTGTTAGCAGAAGTGGGGCAGGCCTGGAAGTCTTTATGAGCACAGTTTACTCCCCTCACCTACTCTGCTGAACGTTAGACCACCGCACCAAGAAAAACCTAATAAAATGTTATTTCATAATGTTTTTCTGCTGACTCTACACTATCAGTTACAACACTACCTAAAAAAAGAGTAATGTGCAAATTAACCATCACTCCACTACACCCACCAGCCATCCCCGCCAGCCAATCAGAGCGAGTATGCAAATAAATCCAACCAAGATGGCTATCAGGAGGGAGGCTTGGGTTTCCCCGGCAAGCTTTCCACACACCTTGGCAGACCCAGACCTCCACTGAAGGCTACAAAGTTTCAATTATAGAAGGTAAACAAATCCAAACAGAAATAGCAGTAGCCACAGAGCAAGCAGGAGGCGTGGCTCTGCTCCAGGCTACAAAGTTTCAATTGTAAAAGGTAAATAAATTACAGATACCAAGGCCTCTGCTTGGGTCACCAGGGGCGTGGCTGGCCTGCAAACCACCACAGGCCCCTCGCTCAGGCCACACCACACCCCAAGGGAATCCCCACCCTGATCAGGAACATCCATCCTTCAGGGCAAACTAGCTGGTCCCCACCAGTGCACCAGGCCTCTATCCTATCTAATAAAAGAGTAATATGCAGATTGACCATCACTCCAACACACAATATGGCTGCCCCCATGTGGACAAAGATCCTGCCCCTATATGGACACAAGATGGCCAGCAGGAGAAGGAAGTTGGCAGGGACCAGGCCTGCAAGGGAGGGCAGTTGAGAGGGACCAGACCTGCAAGGGAGGCAGTTAGAGGCGATCAACCCTGTAGGGGAGGCCAGTTAGGGGTGACCAGACCGGCAGAGGAGGGAAGTTGGGGGCAAACAGGCTGTCAGGAGAGCAGTTAGACATCAATCAGGCTATCATGGGAGTGGTTAGAAGGTGATCAAGTTAGGGGAAATCAGGAAGACAGGCAAGGCGAGCAGTTGGGAATCAGCAGTCCTGGATTGTGAGAGGGATGTCCCAGATTGGAGAAGGTGCAAGTTTGGCTGAGGGATACCCCCCACCCTCATGCACAAATTTCATGCACTGGGTGTCTAGTTTAAATATAATACTCTAGTTCTCAGGAGCTCAAGTCACACTTATATATTCCAAACCATCTTTCTCTTTCATACAAAAAAAAAAAAAATGCTTTATAGGACTGGATAAAAAAACACTGTATTTACTGGATTCTTAACTCTTGGTCTCTCTCTATAACCAAGAAAATAAAACATTCACTCACCATTCCTTTCTCAAACTACTCCTATAAGATCATTTCTTCTATAACTACCTAAAGAATTCATAATTTAGTTGAGTTCACTTTTTGTTAGCTATACAGATACATAATTTTTAAGAACATATATCATATCTACCAAGATGGCTGTGGTAATAGAGAGCAGGAGGGAGGCTTGGGTTTCCCTGACAATGGAGGAAACCAAGCTTTCCGCCTGCCCTGGCAGGCCTAGGCCTCCACTCAAGGCTATAAAGTTTCAATTATAGAAGATACATAAATCCAAACAGAAATGGTAGAGCTGGAAAGAGCAGGAGGCTAGGGTTGCTCCCAGCAATGGAGGAAGCCAACCTTTCCACACACCCTGGCTGGCCCAGGCCTCTGCTTAAGGCTACAAAGTTTCAATAATAGAAGATACATAAATCCCAACAGAAATGGCTACTGCCATGGAGCAAGCAGAAGGCTTGACTCCACTCTAGGCTACAAAGTTTCAATTGTAGAGGATAAATAAGCCCCAGATACCAGAACCTCCATTTGGGTCACCAGGGGGCATGGCTGGCCTGCAAACCAACAAAGGCCCCTTGCCCAGGCCGCCCTATGCCCCAAGAGAACCTCTACCCTGATCCAGGACACCCTTCAGGGCAAACCAGCCAGCCCCCACTCGGCCTCTATCCTATCTAATAAAAGAGTAATATGCAGATTGACCATCTCTCCAACACACAATATGGCTGCCCCCATATGGGCACAATATGGCTTGCAGAAGATGGCCAGCAGGGGTGGGCAGTTGGAAGGGACCAGGCCTGCAAGGGAAGGCAGTTGGGGATGATCAAGCCTTCAGGGAAGGGCAGATAGGGATGACCAAGCTGGCAGAGGAGGAAAGTTGGGGGCAACCAGGCCTGCAGGGAAGGGCAGTTGGGAGGGACCCAGGCCTGCAGGGGTGAGCATTTGGGGGCAAACAGACTGGTAGGGGATCAGTTAGGCATCAATCAGGCTGGCAGGGGAGTGGTTAGGGGGTGATCAGGCTGGCAGGCAGAAGTGGTTAGGGGCAATCAGGAAGGCAGGCAGGTGAGCAGTTGGGAGCCAGCAGTCCTGGATTGTGTGAGGGATGTCCGACTGCCCATTTAGGCCCAAACCAGGTAGGATCAGACATAAACAGGCAGTCAGACATCCCTCAAGGGGTCCCAGATTGGAGAGGATGCAGGCTGGGCTGAGGGAAACCCCTTTTCATACCCCCCCCCCTTACCCCCTTGCACGAATTTCATGCACCGGGCCTCTAGTATAAGGTTCAAGGATGCCATTCTAAGTACAATGGGAAGTCGCAGGTAGGTGTCAAGTAAGCAAGTAACATAACCTGAATTTTTAAAAAGGCATAGTAGATAAAGAGGGAAAACATTCAGGCAGCTACTGCAGGGGTCCAGGGAAGAGATAATGGTGGCTTGATGAAGGACGACGGTAACAATAAAGATGACAAACGGTATAGTTACTAGGATATTTACTGATGGGAATGATGGGTCAAACTAAGTCAACTCAGATTTTACCTTAAGCAACTCAGTGAACTGACTAGTGATGTGGTTTCTTGAGATGGGGGAGGCAGCATATAGAGAAAGATCAAGAATTCTGGTTTGACCATGTTCAGCTCAAGACATCTATCACATGGAGATTGATAGGAAGCTGCTGAATATACAAGTTTAGAGTTCTGAGGCTGGATCAAGCTCAGAGATAAGATTTGGTAACCATTATCATACCCTTGATAAAGAAAGCTTTGGAACTAGTTGAGGACATTTATGCAGAGAGTGTAAAAGAAGGGAGCCCAGCACTGAACTGAGGAGTTATACTTAGGGCTTTGGCAGAGGAGATGAAGCCAACAAAGGATACTTACTATAAGAAAAAGGCATTCAACTTCATGTGAGAATAAAATCAGGAGAATAGGGTCATTGGAAAGCAAGGGAAAAAGAGAGTTACCATCTGAATGGAAAACTGATGGGAAGAAAGTAAGAACAGAAAAATCAACTGGATTTGGCAGCATGGAGATAAATAGTGACCTTGATTTGAGGAGTGTTAGGAGAAAGATTAAAACAGAAACTGGAGTAAAATGCAATGATGAGAAAACCTTAAATAAGAAAATGTACATAATGACCAAAAATAACCCTTTCAAAAGGGGGGGGGGGGAAGTGGTAGCTAGAGGTGAAAATAATTGGAGGTAATAGATACAGTAGAGAAAAAAAAAATTAGAAAGCAGGGGAGGGGGATCAATAAAGAATAAAGTTGTGAAGGTAGAATATTCAGAGCCACATTTCACCAAGAGGAAAGGTAGGGCACTGAGGCAGGCTATTTTGGTGATAGAAAATAAGGAAGTTACTGTATAGCTATTTTTTCAATCAAATATGAAGCAAAAACATTACTGAAATGGGGTGTGCAACATGTTTACGAGAGAGAGAGAGAGAGAGAGAGAGCGCGCGCGCGCGCGCGCGCGCGCATGAAATAACCCTGGAGCCGAAACCGGTTTGGCACAGCAGTAGAGCATCGGTCTGTGGACTGAAAGGTCCCAGGTTCGATTCCGGTCAAGGGCATGTACATTGGTTGCAGGCACATCCCCAGTAGGGGGTGTGCAAGAGGCAGCTGGTCGATGTTTCTCTCTCATCGACGTTTCTAGCTCTCTCTCTCTCTCCTTTCCTCTCTGTAAGAAAAATCAATAAAATATATAGAAAGAAAGAAAGAAAGAAAGAAAGAAAGAAAGAAAGAAAGAAAGAAAGAAAGAAAGAAAGAAAGAAAGAAAGAAAGAAAGAAAGAAAGAAAGAAAGAAAGAAAGAAAGAAAGAAAGAAAGAAAGAAAAGAAAAGAAAGAAAAGAAAGAAAAGAAAGAAAAGAAAGAAAAGAAAGAAAAGAAAGAAAAGAAAGAAAAGAAAGAAAAGAAAGAAAAGAAAGAAAAGAAAGAAAAGAAAGAAAAGAAAGAAAAGAAAGAAAAGAAAGAAAAGAAAGAAAAGAAAGAAAAGAAAGAAAAGAAAGAAAAGAAAGAAAGAAAGAAAGAAAGAAAGAAAGAAAGAAAGAAAG